CCCCGGTTTCAAGATGCTCCAGCCACACCATAACCCCCTTCGGCCTGGTTCATCCCCATGCGATATATCCTATTTCATCCCTTTTCTCGACCCCAATCATACCATCGCACATGACCCTGACCAATCTTACGCTTCAGTTCATCCCCCGGTAACCGCCCCCCTTTTTCCCTTTTCTTTCCTCGACCCCATTCCATCCCTGATATCGACCCCAATCATCCCACCGAATATCTTTCCTGAATCCTGTAGCCATTCCAGATAAATCTGCTTTGTACTGTACCAATGGCATATTCTTTGTTAATGTGAATACATGATATGGTATAATTAAGACATTTTGGACGGACATGGATGTACACTGCATTTTGACTTGTTGGAGTCACAACTGTGAGGCAGTAATTCTAGTTTTTTACAAAGCAATTTGACTATGTGTCTTCTCTTTGTTTTTCACCAACTGTGGTTTTTAAAAAGTACATTTTGCCTCAGGTTAGAGAACGGCAAGATATGTGACAGTTGCTTTTTTTGGACAATGAGTAAATGGCACAAACAAAATTCTTCCTGCCTCAGGATATGTCTTAGTTAAAGAAAGGTATTAGGAAACTTATTTTCCTAATACCTTTCACACTATGAGTGACGGGGTCCTGCCTTAACACACTGTGTTCTGTTTCTTTTCTTCCGTGGACCTACAGGAATTAACCGTTTGTGGCTTGTGGGTTTTCTAAATGGTAAAGTGTTAATGAATTCAACTTACAGATGCATTTTTAGCTTCCATTGTTGATTTTTTTGGCCATAAATATTGAATTATTTAAATATTAAAATACAGTGATACACTTTTCAAATTGTTCATATGAAATCTCTCAAAAAAGTAATGACAGTTTTTTTCCTACAGCAAGTTAATTCTTATATAATGTTTAAAAAAAAACAAAAAAAACACCATTTGGCCCCTGAACGACAGATTCAAAACGCTTTTCACACTTCCAAGTGTTTTTCTGTACCTGTATGAGTGTGTATTTTGGGCTGTTTGCTCATCCTAATGCTCAACCAAGCATTGGCTGGAAAAATCCAGTATCCACACAGGACCTACTGTTTTCATTTCACAGCCAGCAGTGTGGAAGACTTGTTAGAATTATTTGTTTCTTTCTTAAAACCTGTACATAACAAAACATAAAAACTAGAATTGCATTCCATCAAAGTCGTTCCATGAGTAAAAGATAATGTGTGTATCTGCCTTGCATGTGATTTGGATTAGCTGCAACATTTAATGGGTTTTCTTAGCCCATGACTTCACCTTTCAAAGTTCCAAATCTTGCCTGTAGATTTTCTTTAATCCTGCTGACAAACAAACAAACTAATACGAAAACATTATCCCCCTGGCGGAGGTAATACAATTAAATAGGCACTGACTTTATCCTGTAAAATGAAAGCTCTGCACGGTATGCATTCCCAGGTCTCAGGCTGCTTCAGGGTAGGACAAAAGAAGTTTGAAATAAAGGAGGAGATAAAACTACACTGCAACAAAAACAAGAAGCGTGCGGTGCTGTTATAGAGGGCAGAGAAACACCCCAAAAGGTAACCAAACAAACAGAGACTGAAGGCCTGCCACCAATAAGTAAAGTAATGTGCAATCAGATCAGGTGTTGCATTCCCTTGCTGACCTGACTCCTCCCTCCACACAGCTGTAAATACAAAATGTCATTAGGCTAAATACAAACACATTATAAGGATTACAAATGCATTTCAAAACTTCATAAAATACATATGCTGGCATTAGTTGTCACACATGTTGAGGGCCTTATTAATATTGGTAGGTTTAATAGTTTTTCCATAATGCAACGTTTTTTTCCCCAGTTGACAGGAAAGTCATCTCGAGGCCGACATAAAGAAGGAGTTAATGAAAATTGCTTTTGGTGGATCATTTTAAGTCTAAGTGCAATTTACGTCACAACTAATATAAACCGTTATTTGGTTTGACAGAATCTGCCTTCTTTGCTGTCCTATTTTTATTTAAATGTAGGCAACAAACTTTGTTTAAGCTCTAATTTCCCTTCACTTCAGGCTGCCAATTCACAATTTCAGGCTTGATTTTAAGCAGGGCCAAATGTGAAGCCAACTGAGTGAGTTAATTTAGCAAATTTATGCAAATGTGGATCAGCAGTAAGGAAAAATTCATCAGACAATTTTGTCCGGCGTCTGTGTTTATTTATGAAGGGGGAAAATTGACATTCCAACACCTGACATCCATCTAATATACACGAGAGGGTTGATGGTGATTTATTGGGGCCGATGTGGACAGCAGGACACTGCGTCCATACTTTATTACATCTGTCACCATTTTTATTATCAACATCATTTTGACACTGTACTGTGAATGTATTATTTTATTGTGTATAGTGTTCAAGTCAACTCTAACAGTTTGAAAAATTCCGCTCAATTACATGGTTTTATATTTGTATTGGCTTGAAAAGTTATCAAAACCAATGTGTCGCATATGTAATTAGCAATAAAAACACTTTCCATTGTTAATGAACAGCGAAGCTTTATTGTCTCATTGGAAATGTCTTTATTTACCTGTGTTGCTTACCAAGGAGATAATTGGCATATGTATAAAACATGGTGTTTACCTAACTTAAAGGTCCCATGTCATGCTTTTCCGGTTATTACCCGTCCCCTTGTGTGTTATGTAGCTTTTTATGCATGTAAACGGTCTGCAGAGTCACAAACCCTCAAATTACACCCTGTAGCCAGTAAAACTCTAACACACTGTGTATGCTGCCCCAGAACGCCTCGTTGGAGATTTTTCTTTTTCCATTGTTTTCTTCTTATAGTGTAGTAAGTACAGTGACGTATTGGGTATAGTGACGTAACGTCTCCGCGGATTGGTGGATTTCTCAGCCTGAACTCAGCCTGAACTCAGCCTGAGACCGAGACGCGGCGGGGCTTGGCCTGGGCTCGTTCTGAGCACACACGCAGATTCACAGCCAGGCTGCAGGTGTGTGTGTGTGTGCTCGGGCTGGGTTCAGGCTGGGTTTCGCTGTGTCTCGCTGTCTCGCAGATCCCCCGCAGCAAGCCAGCTCACACTGTCCGCTCCAGCAGCGTGCCGCGCAACGTCCCGCCAACACGGCACCCAGACCCCACGCAGCATTCTCATCTGTTTGTCATTGCTGGTGTCCTTTTCTGGTTGCTAACAAACGCCATTGTAACACATAATCACTGATGTTCCGCTGTAACGGTGGTGGACTCATCAGAACAGAGTGGGCGACAGAGTGGGCGAGCTGACCAATCAGAGCACACTGGGCTCATAGGGAGGGGGGGGGGCAGGAGCTCCAACAAGCCGTTTAGGACAGAGAGTGAATACACATACTATACAGAGATGCTGTATGAGAAACCAATGTGAGTTTGGAAAATTGCACAATATAAATCTATTCTAGTAGACCTCAACAATGGAATTATGATCAGTAGAAATGGCCATGACATGGGACCTTTAAAGATGAGAGATGTTTATCGTGTTTATTTTCAAGCTAGAAACAGATGCACGGAAGGAGATGAGTTTGGAGAAATAGTGTTAATTGGGACTTTGAGACACACGGCAAGTGAAGTTACCATGTAAACAGCAGCTAATTTCGACACATATATTGGTGATTAGAGGGGAATGTGAGTTGAGTCAGTATAAAGTGACATATTATAACATCAATGTATTTAAAGCTTCAAAATAACTTTTAAAAATTATTTTAAAAGAAAAATATACCAGCATGTGTGGTTCAAAAGTATCAACTACTAGACAAGCAAGAAAACAGTTGCACAACTTCTATGTAAAATCTAGAATATTTCAAACACTGAATCAAATCAAATCAAATCAAGTTTTATTTATATAGCACATTTTTAAACGATTTTTGGTCGAGCCAAAGTGCTGTACATATAATAAAAATACCCTACAGTAAAGACACTTTACAGCAAATACAACAGCACAGTTTGTGCAGAATATCAGTATGAGAAAACGACACCCTCTGTCTTTAGACCCTCACATTGTACAAGGAAAAACTTCCAGAGAAAAACCCACAGTTTAAAGGGAAAAATGGGAGAAACCTCAGGGAGAGCAACAGAGGAGGGATCCCTCTCCCAGGACGAGATAATACATTTTACAGCGTAGGTAGACCGAATGTTTGGAAATGCATTCATAGGGTATTATATAAATGTATAAATGCTGCATTTAAAGAAAGTAAGAAAGATTTTATTTTTGTGAAAAACTTGCTTTCATTCAAAGAGTAAGTTGAGATACTATTGTCCTTTAGTATTACGCTAGAGCAGAGAGCTTGTTAGCTGTTAGCATGAAGACTTGACGCAGTTGGGGAACACTTAGCCTGGCTTTCGCAAAAGTATAAACAATACACTTCTATAACCTTTTAAAGCTCTTAACAACCAAAGAGGTTAATAGTAAGCTTTATTAATGCTGGGAGGTGTATTTGTATAACTGTATCAAGAGCCAGAGCTAGCTGTTTCCCCAAGCCTTTAATGCTAGGCTAAGCTAAGCAAAGCTAATCACCTCCCCACTCCCAGCTATTGCTTTTTTAAGTAAGTTCAAGTAAGTATTAAGTAAGCTCTCATAGAAGGAAGGCAAACACTGCTGCAGGGAACTCTGTAACCTGAGTGGCAGGAGTGAGACTGACAATTTCCTAAAATGCTAACAAAAACAAGATGAATCATGACATCTGAAAATCAGGGATCTCAGCACCTGTCAAAGTACTTGCTGAGCTTTTGAGTGTTGACGAAGAATCCCATCAACCCCCGACAGACAAGCAGAGATGTGTGACAGAGCATTAGGTGTTACTTTTCACCTATTAAAACATGTGCCAATTACTCTCGGAAATAAATCTGAGTGATAACTATTACAGGTTTTGCAGCGGCATTAAGCACGTTGCTTTCTACTTAGTACTTACTAACTAAGAAAACCTAAAGAATGGACAAAAATATGAGAAGAGGTATTTCAAGATACTGAACTCCAGCAATGATTGTGTTCGATATGAATATTTATTTAAAAATCCAGTTTGATACAGAAATAGTCATCTATTATATGTATTATCAGACAATCAGTACTTCAGCCATGCTTTCTCTGATTAATCACGTTTTCAAAAAAGTACAAGATCATTATTTTTTCCATAACTCAACTTGTGCAAAGAAAATCCACTAAAAAGCAATAGAAACACTGACACAAAATATATAACAATTAATTCATCAAAACAATTCATTTTTCTGAAGAAGGCATCGCACAATTCCAAGAAAATCTGTGAAAGATTTAAGGCCATTTTGTACAGTTAATTATCATATAGATTTTTATATTTCAATACAACCAGTTTTCAACAAAAGGAACTGGTGCATCCTTTGTAAAACTGTACATGCAAACATAGTGCACGTTGTTAAGAAGATATGACGAGCATACAATATATTATTTGGATAGCTTTAGTAAACAAAGATCTTATGTGTGTTAACACCTCACATTGTCTATTAAAACACTCTTATAAAAAGGTGCCACACATAGGCACACACACACACACACGCTCACACGCACAAAGAATATTTATATCAAAGGCATGCACACCCGTACACACACTTTTAGGGGCAAAGTTAATGAGTTTAACTAATAATTTCTGTCCACACAAAGCAGACCAACAGAAAATAACAGGCACCAATGACTATGGCAATAATGTGTTTGTATGAAAGCAAAGAAAGGCCAACATTTTAAGTAAAACTAATAAAAACTATGATTGTTGTCATTAATTATGGCGAGATGAGCATGACGTAAGAGATGTATTTTCCTACCCTGAAATTGATTTGCTGAAGACCATGTGACTTGAAACAGGAGGTAGTTAGCCATTCAAATGGCAAGACAGGGACATCCTGTAGGCTGTTTTTATAAAAAGGTCCACCATGTAACAACAACTCCCAGGTTTAAATCTGGTCAGCCAATTATAATTTCAAAGATTTTATAAATACATTTATAGGAAGCTTCATTGAAGGTGTCAAAAAGTTGAGTACATTTTCCGTTACCTTTCTCCCTTGTTTTTGTTGGGATCATCTTTAAAAAGATATCTGAGACTTTTGAAAGAAGAAATTACATTCTTCCTCTTACAAAGTTGAATACATAAGCAATACATTTCACTGGCACTACCACTACAGCTTTTCTTGGTCTGGAATGTAAACTAGCTTACAGTGGCTAATGTTAGATAGAGTTAGCTAGATGCCTAGCTAATGATAGCTAACTTTAGACAGAGTTTTCCTGACAAATCAGTCAGTTTGATTCAGAAATGTACATGTTACCAGTAATATAGCAATTACTTTGATGAGTAGAATATTCTCATTGAACCAATAAAATAACAGTTGTTAAATATTAACCCCGTAGCCGTAATTAGTGTTAACAGTGGCTATATCAACAGGCTTTTTAAAAAGTCTTTGTATAGAAATGTGTCTCCACCAGAAGGGATGTATGCTAAGTTGTCACCAAGCACTAACATCAAACACTTAGCTGACTCTAAGAAATGTCTTGTTTGACCCCCGCAGTGCTGGATCCCTAACAGTTTTACAGTGTATCTGCTGAGGCAGTAATGAGCTGCGTAGAATGACCTGCAGTCCTAATGATGTGCCGCGCTACGCTGTGAACACAGTGGGTGGCTGCAGGAACACGACTCCACTGGCTAAGCAAACACACAGTTAGTCCAATTTTGCTACAGTGGCTACTACAGTACACAGGACTGTAAAGAAAAAAAAAAAGATTATATCAAGCTAGAGAAAGCAGCGATGTAAGATTTAAAAGAAAATGTAGAAAATGTCAGTTAAGGTTTGCTCACTGCGTAGTGTCTTAAGACATCTGGGTTGATAGTGTCACTTTCCATGTTTTTTTCCTAAATTCGAGCCACAATGTTAATTTTCACTGCTGGAAAAATGGCCAAAATTATGCAATAGACCTGAGTGCAGCCGGTAGCAGCAACTCAGCACATAAATTGTATATCAAAGACACATTTGCTTTTGAAACACACTCAAGACGTCTGTAACTAGTGTTGGATTGATAATAGATGAAAAGTCTCTATTGATAAGACATCAGAGTAATCAGCAGATTATGGGATGATCATGAGGTTTACAGTAATTAAAAGAAAATATGATAATGTTTGTGCTATAATTTAAGACTGTAGGGTGTTGATACAACAAAATTACGGGAAGCTTTAACATCACTGCAATGCTTAAATTGCATGTAATTCAATCATGACCGGAGACATTTCAAACATTTAATCGAATGACTTTTCACAAATCTCATTAACACATCCACTCTTTGAAACACTGAACAGTCCCTCAACATTCATGACAAAAACAGACCTTCATTAGGCGTCATTTAGAACAAATGATAAAGACATCCTCAGTGAATCACACAAATCATCCTCTTACACATGGTTGGCACATAAAAAATACACGTCATAAAAAAAAAAGGTTTTAAAAGCTATATCAAAGCTAAAGGTGCAATAAAAAGTACACAACGCAAAAAGTGGAACAAAAAGCCAACAAAGGGAAAAAGGTGTGTTTTTCTCTGCATTTTTGACCATTGGGCTCTTGATGCTCAAACAGTATTCAGTTTGAGAGCAGCTGTTGTCGTTTTAAACATGGGGCGGGGACGTGGTGTTGGACGACACAATGAGACGAAACCCCTGGGCACGTGGGCATCATATTGCCAAGGCAGTTTGGAGGAGAACATAGACACAGATAGAAAGAGATAGGGAGAGAGACAGGAGAGAGTCATGCATTCAGAAATCAAATAAATATGACACAAATTATATAAAATGCGAAAAAACTGAAATTGCTCATCATCTTCATCATTACAGAAAACAAATTTGCATCTGAAATGTAAAACATTTGTTTGTTAAAGTTGGATGATGGACATGTCATTAGTTTTGCACGCATTTAGTCAAATACAAAATATAACCTGATGATAGCGCTAGATGAAAAATCAGAGGATAAGCGAAATTTTACAATTCATCCTCAGGGGAACATGAATGTGTCATGATCACAAAGAGAAATGAACTTTCTCTTTGTGTCTTGTCTGGTTTGACTTCCTGTTTCCCCCTGTGTGTGATCTCCTTTCTGCCCTTGTGTCTTTACCTGCCCTCTCCAGCTGTGTCTTGTTAATGTTGCTCCGTTTATTTTATTTTATGGCACTCCTTAAAAAGATTGTTAATATATTTCAGTGTGGACCGAAGAGGCCAGCTGAAACTGCCATTCCAAGGGCAAAGCAGGATTATATAAAAAAAGCACCTGAAAAGAATAATAGTAATAAACATGCTGTCTTTTAAAAGACATTTGACACCATATCTCTGGGAAGTAGGGCAAACATTCTGCATTTCAATTGAAATCTTTGCTTATCATTACATTTTGTAATAAAACCCTTTTCTTTACTGATGAGCAAAAAGAAAAAAAAGCATTTTCTATTTCGGCTTCCCTAACCCTAACCCTAACTTGTGTGACATTTTTGAATGAAAAGTGAAAACTAAAGACTGGAAGAAAAGCTGCAAAAGGGAGATGTATAGACGGACCTGAGAGCAGTGCAGACAGACAGAGAGGGTGAGGTGACTAATGGAGATACAGGCAGACACACACTCACCCCCCCCCACAGACAGACAGACAAATGGGTAGAAGAGGTAGTGCAGGGATACTACAGTATATGCATGCACTTCACCGAGGCTACACTCATGCAAAAAGGTTAATAGAAACACAAGAATAGAGTACGGTACAGCACGGTACGGTACAGAAGAGCTACCAGGACCTGCACTGCTGCTACCTGACACCAGGAGAGAGAGAGAGAGAGAGAGAGAGAGAGAGAGAGAGAGAGAGAGAGAGAGAGAGAGAGAGAGAAAAAGAGGGAGAGGGAGAGAGAGCGAGAGAGAGCGAGAGAGAATATATCGAGCTTCATATAGAAACTGTGTGAATATAAAAGTATCAACAGTAAAAATCCTTGTTAGCGTTTACTGTAAACAATGAGTGGGTCGGAGAGAGATAAGAGAAAGAACACATGTCCGGTTATTTACAGGAAAAAAGATCAAGTGATTCCTTTGATTTGTCTGGAGACATTCTCTTCACAATGTTTCCAAAGCTGTCCTTCATTCATTCCTTCTCATCCTCCCAGGGAGCATTCAGACTCTTCCAACTCTATCAAAAAAACAAAATTCCAGACATTAACAGGAATGCTTGACGGTGGAAGTAAACAGACTCTCATTGGCTTTTCCTGTCCTCCAAAGCACACTCTCCAGGCCCGACATGCAGCTTCCTGAACACGAGAAAAAAACACCGTGATCCACGACGACAAGGCATTAGAGAGCGGCTTCAGGGAGATTGGAAGTATTTCGCACGGTGGGTTCAGCTAACCCCCGACTCGGAAACATGATTCTCCTCGGCTCCTCATATCTCGGTCTGTATGGGCTGCCCCGGCGGCGTGTAGGGAGGCGGCGCTGGGGACGGCTTGATCCCGCGGGTCCTCATGTAGGAGAGGAACTGGTCGGGGATCTCGGCCAGGACGTCTTTGGCGAGCCGCGCCATGCTCAGGATGTGGTTCCCCGTCCGGTCGATGTAGTCTCTGAACGGGACGAACTGAGGGAGAGGGGAGGGAGGAAAGGGAGGTAAATAGGCAAATCTACAGTCCAGAAGCTGCTGCCAAACTTCTAGCACAATATCGTGTTTGTACAGCGTTGGGAGGGTTACTTTAAAAAAGGAATCTGTAACATAAACTAAGTATCACAATATTAAAGGAGTTTAACCTGATTACTTTCCGTATATTTTGGATTGCGTCAACATCAAACGCAATGCAAATAAATGAAAGAAAAGGAATACCAATACGATGTTTTTTACTGAAGTGTATAATGTAAGGCAACAGAACAATGTTATCTTAGAAAAGAAGAAACCAAGATACTGTATTTAGGATAAAAAATGTGTCCACTTAAATTTAGGCTAGACCTTCAGAATAGTAGAATTTACAAAAAGTGTTTTAGTTTAATATATAAATTAAAAGCAAAGTCAATTTTTGCTATAATAATCCAGGTGTCCACTTACTGCATTCAAAAAATGAAAGTAACCTTTAATTACTAAAGCAAGTACGTCTACCTGGGTGTTTATTGATACATTGTAATCCTGCAAGTAATCCCGCGTTTTGTAACAGTAATCTGATTACGTCTTTTCTGAATTTTCTTTTCTAATTATCTCAATTATCTCAATCACAGCTAATACAATCTTCTTAAGACAGTTGTAATGTCACTGGCAAAATCAACAGTCCCTTGCTGCATTTGTCAACCTGGGTTTTAGAGAATGGTTCATTAAGACGAGGGGGAGAGGAGAAAACACTGAGGGGAGAGGAGAAAACACTGAGGGGAGAGGAGAAAACACTGAGGGGAGAGGAGAAAACACTGAGGGGAGAGGAGAAAACACTGAGGGGAGAGGAGAAAACACTGAGGGGAGAGGAGAAAACACTGAGGGGAGAGGAGAAAACACTGAGGGGAGAGGAGAAAACACTGAGGGGAGAGGAGAAAACACTGAGGGGAGAGGAGAAAACACTGAGGGGAGAGGAGAAAACACTGAGGGGAGAGGAGAAAACACTGAGGGGAGAGGAGAAAACACTGAGAGGAGAGAGGAGAAAACACTGAGGGGAGAGGAGAAAACACTGAGGGGAGAGGAGAAAACACTGAGGGGAGAGGAGAAAACACTGAGGGGAGAGGAGAAAACACTGAGGAGAGAGGAGAAAACACTGAGGGAGGAGAAAACACTGAGGGGAGAGGAGAAAACACGGAGGGGAGAGGAGAAAACACTGAGGGGAGAGGAGAAAACACTGAGGGGAGAGGAGAAAACACTGAGGGGAGAGGAGAAAACACTGAGGGGAGAGGAGAAAACACTGAGGGAGAGGAGAAAACACTGAGGGGAGAGGAGAAAACACTGAGGGAGAGAGGAGAGAGGAAAACACTGAGGGGAGAGGAGAAAACACTGAGGGGAGAGAGAAACACTGAGGGGAGAGGAGAAAACACTGAGGGGAGAGGAGAAAACACTGAGGAGAGAGGAAAAAACACTGAGGGGAGAGGAGAAAACACTGAGGGGAGAGGAGAAAACACTGAGGGGAGAGGAGAAAACACTGAGGGGAGAGGAGAAAACACTGAGGGGAAATGATCACAGTTGGTGGAGAAAAAGTAGAGATTTACAGAATGTTGCAGAAAAAATGTCAGAGGAAGAAAACAGACAAAGAACAAAGATTGGAAAGAAGATTAAAAACAGAATGATGTAATGGAGCAGAAACAGTGGGGAGAAAGAATATAATTTGAATGATGTAACACACTTCATCCTTTTGTTTCTTTGTTCACTTTTTAAAGTGGAATAAGATCTTAAGAGCTGCAGGATTATTGCTACAGACAAGAGAGCCTCTCCTAATTAAGACCTATTTTCTGAAATGAAACGCTGGTGTCTGGTTGTCTGGTGAACTGGAGGAGGTGAATGTCAAAGACTTCTACTGAACAGTACATGGAGAAAAATCCGATCCATAAGGTCAGAGGAATTAGCGGTTAAAGTGGAAACAAGGAATGTGCAATTTAGTGACATGCTTTATTTAGCCAGAATATTATGTTTTCCATTGGGGCTGCTGGGGTGTGAAATTAAACAGCTTAAATCTTTAAAATTGACATGATAGGCACAGAGCCAGCAGCTATATACCAAGACCAAGTTAATACTGATTCCCCTTCCAATGTCAGTGCTTAATATCTGTAAAATCAGACAGTTTGAAACTCGCTGACATCCTTTTTATGTCAGGTATAATGAAAAATGTGCCGCAGAACATGTGAATTAATTGCTGTTCTTGATTTAATCACAGCTAAGTTATTTTGGACTCAATAACACATAAATACATCTATTTTATAACAACTAGGTTCCTATTTTCATCTTAATACATCTCAGTTATTAAGTGCAATGAAACTGGAAGGGCACTTGGAGAGTGCAGACCTCTGCCAAGTGAAAAATAATGCCTGCATCTTCCAAGTGATTAAAATCTGTTTAAAAACTTGGCTAATGCTTCACCCTTCCACAAAGTTTCATGCAAATTGAGAGTAGTTTTTTCTATATTCCTGCTAACAAACAGATAGAGGCAGAGGTTAGACTGTGATGAGACCAAAAAGCTTGTTACGAATGTGACTTAGATCTCATGTAGGTCAACAGTTTCATGAAAGACAGAGCTACAGATAGTGCCACTTCACCTCAAAACAGGCGGTAAACTGACATACACATTCAGACTCACATATAATATGCATTTCATTATTTTCCTCACGAACCATCAGCTGTGACTCATTATTTACGGCTTTAAGACCGCTGTCCTCGTTACAATGCTAATCCACCTGCTGTACTGTAGTGAAAGAACTGCTGGCGTATTTCACTTACCTTACCAAAGGTTGTACGCTCTTACACATAGATTTTGCCTGACTAATGAGAAAAGGTATAAGACTTTTTAATTGACCTGATCACAAGCCCACATGAGAGGCCAATTTGTACTGGAAGCCCTGGCTGCGAAATGTAACCCTCGCCATGTAAGAACGGGTTATTAGCTGGCTGATAATGAGAATCTGTAGGCAGAACTGGTGGAATGTTCCAGAGATGAAACTTAGTTTGACACCACCTCCTCCTGTGCAGCGTATGTGTGTGTGTGTGTGTTCTTCAGCTTGTTAAAGAGCCAGCTAACGAGCGTGCATCACTAGCTAACGTGGGGTGAGGGAGCAAAATATGGCTGCGTTATGGAGAAGAGTGTGACTTTACTGTGTGGCACCCGCAACAAACAAACGGCTCACTCTGCATGTTTGCATTTCTTCTTTTTGCTTTGGTGCCAGGGGGTGATACGAGTGTGAAAAGGAATAATTGTCTTTGTGGGCTGATCCCTTTCAGCAAAACGACGATACAAAAGGACTTCATGAAAAGGGATGAAGACGGATGATTGACAGGCTGAAGGAATGACTAGAAACTAATCATAGTTTAGATTATGAGCAGCCAATCATAGCAATCTTGTACTTTTCAGTAGCATATTGTTGTATTTTTGAATAAATTCATGGTCTTTGTGACTGTTTTCCAATCAGTAGCTGAGCTGCCCTGTAGGCCGGGGTTCAGCCGAGGTCTCAGTTCATACACAGATACAGAAAATAAGCAGACTCTCCGTAGATACTGGGTAGACACCATTATCTCTCTGTGTATGTGTGTGGTGCATTTGTTTGTCCATCTTCCCATCTGGGGTGCAGCATGAGGTCAAGATGACCAGGTGTCTGCACCAAAAAAGATGAACAGCCTGGGCAAATGCTTTTTTAAGGCGTTCATATTAAACAGGTTTGCACAAAAACCCTTCAACACTTCCAAATAATCCTCTCAAGTTGTGATTTTGGGGGGAATGTCTTCCTGAAAGTCTTACATTGTCCAGCATCGAAATGTCAATAAACAGGTTTTTATACTTTCGCATATTTAAAGGCACAATGATTACGATTTTCATAAATACCATGTATAGACTCATAAAATATCCCTCTTAATAATCACTAGCCTTGTGTCTGAATGTTCTTATTTTGCTGTTGTTAGGACATCTCTGGGTGTTGAATTATTTTAAAAATAATGCAGAGACCAGGTCCCAGGTCGTGAGAATGGATCCAATAGGAAACCATGGAAATGGTGAACACAGCAAGTAAAGAGAGGTGAAACACCCAAACACTTAAGAGGGAATCTGGCATTCACAGGCAACTTTGAATGTTGTGTTTATAAAACAACAACCGACAAATGCTGTTCATTGTGCCTTCGAGTTATCAAATGACACGGAGATCAAGATGACTGGCAGCAGCTTTAAGGCTGTGCTATTTTCTACCAGCCAGGCAAAGTGGGCAAATGTCCTTCGGCTCTCAGGCTTACTGTGTGTCTACTTGATTTAATTGTAATTTTGTTTGGGAAAATAAGCTTTAAGTGACGTGATAAGAAACCCTTTCAGTCTGCTGTTATTATTTCAGTTTCGTGCTTTTAATCAATCAGTTAAGCATATTACTATGGAGCAAAGCTAGGGGCTGTCTTCAAGCACAGACTCATTGTAAACATTACTCAGATAAAGGGAGGCTCAGCACATATTATTTACCCCGGAGCTGTGAAGTCATTTTTTTACTGCCTTGATTTTAACAGTACTGGTTCTCAAAATACAGTCAGTATCAGTTTTACAAAAACTAATTAAGGATAACATCTGAAAAAAGTGATGATGGAGGATCACGAGGCAGAGCTCATTTGTAAACTTGGACGTGTTTTCATTTTGGATTACTGTTATCAGACAATAATGAGACAGCAGTTGGGGGGGCTGGTTTGAGACAAAGGAAGGATTATGTACCTGAACAATGTCCCTCTCAGCGTATCTCCCTCTGGATGAGATCCTGATTTCATCGCCGTCCAACTCAACCATGGCTGAGGAGAAGAAGAAAAACCCACACATTATTTCTCACTGTTGTCACTGCCAGTAAAAAACTGAATATCTCAGAAGATGGAGCTAATTTCAGCCAGATTCTAAAGAGTTTACAGAAGTTTATTATATATGAACATTACTCACAAGCAGGGCTGGGCAATATATCTGAATATAAGACCAGATGGGTTTTTTGATGTTGCATAACTTTATACGTGTCTTTTTCTGGTTTGAAAGGCTGCATTTTCAGTAAAATGTTGTCATTTCCTGAATTTATTTATTTGAATTTGATCTGTTCTTGACTTGCCTTTCCCTACTTAGTCATTAAATCCTAGTTACTGATCACTATTCATCAAAATTCCCTTCTTTGTGAATGATTTGTGAAAGCATCAATGGTCAACCTTACACTGAAAAAACTGAAGCGTTGACTTAAATGAAATATATTATGTCCACAGATTTCACATAACTGTATTAGGTGAGTTGGAAGCAATAATATTAAGTTGAACCTAATATTTTTGTATTTAAACTTCATATTATTGCTTTCAACTAACTTAATACAGCTATGTGAAATCTGTTAACATAATACATTTAATTAAAGTCAATGTTTCCGTTTTTTCAGTGTACAATATTGTCGACATCGGTGTATTTTCTCCAAAAAATTTTGGTGTTTGATTTGAATCGTGTTCATGCCTTCATACTCACCATCGAATTCTGCGGGGCCCACCCCCACGATGATAATTGACATCGGCAGACAGGAGGCCTGCAGGAGAGGAGAGGAACATATTTGAAAACTCCTCTGAGAAAACTTTCTTCCCTGTAGGGTGATGTAACTAATAGGAAGGAGAAGATCTTGTCAACATGTGTAGTACACAGCGTATGTGTAGTACACAGCGTATGTGTAGTACACAGCGTATGTGTAAGCGTGTGTGTTTTCTGCAGCACCTCACGCAACGCCGCGTGGGTCGAGGCTTCACAATGAATAATATTAGACACGAGGGAATCAACAACACGGCCAGAACTCGCTGACAGCCTATAAATGACATGTGTTTGTGTGTGTGTGTGTGTGTGTGTGTGTGTGTCACAGAGCGGGTATTTGAAAGAGTGGGCGTGTGTGTTCGGCGTATATTGAGTAATGGGTTGACCTCAGGCGGCAGAGCAATAGATGATCTTATGAAAACATCTCGTTTATTTTTCGCCCCCCTCGGTAAGGGTTTTCTTTCCACTCCAATTTTTTTTCATCTCCGCCTCCTCCTCTCTCTCAGCCTACATTTCCCCCTCAACATTTCACTATTCTCAACCTCCCTGCTTTCAAAAGGCCTGAGATGGATCACTGCCTTCACAAAAAATGCTGCTGTTCACTTTGTTTGCATTGTGCATCGTGCTCTGGAGCAGTGACAGTGATGGAGGGGACGGACGGAGGGCCAATAGCATGCTGTCAAAAGTGAGGGCAGCACAGCAAACACAAAATAAAATAACAGGAGTAAAAGGCTGCCGTCACTTCATATTTCTTGATATGCAGAGACGGGTAAAAAAAAATATGTGAACAACCCCTTATGTTAATGTTTCCTCTGATTCACAAACAACGCCTTGAGGCACCCAGAAGAGATACAGCCGTAATGATATTGCAGCTCATAAACGCCCATAAAGGTTGCAGATGATAAAACTAAGTCGTGAAATGTCCCTTCTTTTTTTTGAAGAGGGAGAGAAAATAACTAATGACTTTCTTTGTTGATTTCATTCATGTAGAATAATGGAACAGTCTACACACAGACAAGCATACACAATCCTACTTTAGACGCACAATAACAGGTTTTATCTAAACAGCAGCTGTCTCCATTGTATTGCATGTTTTGTGTAAAATATCTGCTACATAAATGAAGTTTAATCAGTGAGGAGTATTTGTTAATGTATTGTAGGACATCCTTTCTGCGTATTCTCTTTTTAGATAAGATTCAATATACTTGTATTGATCCCAGGTTGAGAAATGTGTCACAGCGACATGTAGACAAGGCATTGCTATTTAATTAAAAGTTATATAAAATACAAAATCAACAATAAATACATTTTGTAACTAAATGTAAACATTGTGTACTATTTACATTACAAGTTAACAAAGAAATTCAAGTATACATTTGATTTAGACCCCGTCCACACGGAGACGAAACGGGTGTTATCCGCTATAGTTCTTTATCGTATGGACGGTTCGTTCACACGAGGCCATAACGGAACCGCGGAAACGGAGCCCTCAAACGATAAAGCATCCCAAAGTGGGAAGGTCTGGTAACGTAACGCTTGCGGCACCGTGTGTACGCCCTAAACGATCATAGCCCCGCCTCTCCCCACCTCTCCTGCTCACCCCCGCGTCACCATTGCTGATGCGTTTCGCCAATAACAACAACAATGGCGGATCACAGGGTTGCATTAGTGCTCCAGACGCTACTGACCATGATACAGATGTTAGTGCAAAATATACAGCTCCTCTACCACAACCATCAGCAACAAGTGGACATGGAGAACTACATGTTGCTAAATCCACCGCGGAGAATAACCAGAACGGCAACCAGGCAACCATGGCAACCATGCTCGGGGGGTCTTATTCGCTGCTTTTGGTGTATTTTGTGGCGGAAGTACAGCGCCACTTACAGGCCCGGCATATGTACTACAGCGTCTCCAGCGGGTCGAGCGGTCTCGTGTGGACGGACACGTTTCTTGAGCCGATTCCGTGTGGACAGAAGACTTTTTTGATTTCGACATCGGTTCGTTTTTCGTCTCCGTGTGGACGGGGCCTTAAATGCACCGTGAGAACAATATATACAAATGACTGAATTAAGGTTATTGAAAAGGAAAAACTGAGTGTGATCTTTTGGCGAACTGACTTTTTTCTTCTTTATTTTAGGGGTTAGACTTAATGGTCGGCTGTAGATTGAGACGCACTTACGTTGACAATAGACTCCTTGGTCTGTGCCATGTCTGAGATCACGCCATCTGTGATGATAAGGAGCACAAAGTACTGGGAGCCATCCTTCACTGACGCTGCATACCTGC